AGAAAGAAAGAAAGAAAGAAAGAAAGAAAGAAAGAAAGAAAGAAAGATCACTTGAAGGGACATGTTAATCTGTAGGAAGTGTTTCATAAAATGAAGTGATCGAGATAAAATGTACAAAGGTTATGAAAGTGCCTCATGCCTGAGAGTAGAACCGTAGTAGTGAATACGATTCAGTGTGTGCTCTGTAAGCAGTCCTATGATCCTGGCGGGGAGCCGTCTTCCCGATAGAAGGAATGTCTCAACTCTCAAAAGCTCCCGTCAGGCTAATTATCAACTGAACGCTCGCAAAATCCAGCATATGCAGAATTAGTATCGGCGCAGGCACGGCTCTGTCCCCTTCGGACAACCCCCCATCCCACTCCTGCTTTTCCTTCAGTGCGTTCCTTTCCAAATACTGATCAAGTGGAAAGCCATGATCTGCCCTTCATAATAACAACCATCCAGAGCTAGATATGTCTCTGGACTCTTTTTTTTTCTCCAGAGGACGCTTTTAAGGCTATTTGCCTGCTTTAAATTTTATTTATACTTGTACGTTTATTTTATCTTGGAGACAGGGAATTTAGCAGTGGGGTATATTTTGTTTGTGTTTTGTCTTGAAACATGATATACTCTAACTTTGTGGGGCTTGGGAAGTGATTCTGTAATGCCTAGAGTTAATAAAAAATACCCAACCAACTACTTTCCCTAGGAATAGATAGATAGATAGATAGAAAATTGAATCTTTCCAGGGTTTTTAAAAAATCTCTCATTCTCTCTGTCGCTCTCATTCTCTCTGTCTCTGTCTCTGTCTCTCTCTCTGATTTATAATTAATAGTATGGTCTAAAAACCTCCTATCTACTTAAATTGATGTGGTCTTAAAACAAAAGTGGGAGACGAACTCGCCCTGGGAAGCGTGGGTCTCTGTAGGAGGGAACGTAAGTTGAACTTTAACAGAAATGGCAGGCAGGCCAGTCGAACGGGTTCCTGAAACATCAAAAGGGTTTTCTATCGCCCCTGGCTTTGCCTAGAAACTATAAATTTAGTATCCTTTAAAATTCATTGCATAAATTTTACATCTGGGTGAAAACTGGGCGCATTTTTGGCATAGTTAGGGGGCAAATTAGCATGGAGAATGAAATGGAACCCGACTTAACACTGATTTATTTGTACGTTTGAGATATTTTGCTTTTACAAATAAATGCGATCTGTAGCGTTCCGTCAAAGTGCTTAATTGCCGCTGTAAACAGACAAATTATAGTGGCTGAATAGTTTATTTATTTATTTTCAAGAGAGGATCAGGAAAACTCCCCCACCCCCCGTTATTTGTTTACTATATATATATATATTATGAACAAAAGCACCAAGAGCAATCAAATTATCCGATTTGGATGCATAATTACATGTAAAAGAAGGAAATATGATTTTTTCTTAGCCTCTAGCATTGCTCCATAGCACTTCCTTGCTCCAAATCAGCAGTGTCTAGTTTACACTTCTTCCTCTGCCTGAGTTAATTGAAGTTATGTCTTTTCCTTGCTAAACTTCCCCACCCTCCCCCCTGTACCTTCTCCCTCTCTCCCCCAACTCGGCTTCTGCCAGCCCCCCTCGTCTGATTACATCTAGTAATTCTCCACTGAATGAACGTCATTTACAATGGTAGGGGAGCTCTCGAGCTGGCTGCAAGCTTCACGCTCCATTTGGTCCTGCATTCTCCCTTTAAAGTAGTCGTGTAATATTAATAGTCATGAATATCAATTATTATGAGGCGGTGTAGAGGAGGACAGGGAGGAAGGGGCATCGGAGCAGTCTCAGCCTAGCCTTGGGTTGAAGAGGATTGCATCTGGAAGCTCAAAGGGGGGGAAATAAATAAATAAATAAATAAAAAACCAGAGGGGAGGGGGGAAATCATAGATGTCTACATAGGTTTCCAACCTCATTTTTGGCGGGGGGGTGGCGCACTGGCTAATTTTTTTATGATGATTTTTGATGGCTAGACTTGGAAATACCTCAAGCTGTTCTCCTGTGTCCAACACGTCCCTTTGCCGAGCTCCTTGATATTTTTCTCCTATTATTACTATTATTATTATCAGCACCACTCTTTTATTTGTAGCTGTTACAAGACTTTTTTTTATTTCCAGATGTTAGTCCACACCTATTCCGCCATGGTGAGTTTGGATCCATGTTGTACCAGAATTGCATGTTCTCTCTCTCTGTCTTTCTCTCTCTCTCTCTCTCTCGCTCCCTCTCCCCCTCTCTCTCTCTCTCTTGAACGCCTTTGGCTTGGTAATTTAGCACAATAATTGGAGGAGGCTTGCAGCTGCTTCTCCTTTTTGCATTGTGTGTTCTTGGTTTGAGCTGGGGGGGGAGAGGAAAACTTTTTTTTTTTTTGCCATCGCTGGTGGGGATTTGGACAACACTTTGTGGACTAGATGTTTTCTTGTTTACTTTAGCCTTGCAGCCTCAGCTAGGATGGAGTTGGACAAAACTCCTTTCCCACACTTTCTCGGAAGACTTTCATATTCCCCCCTCCCCCGATACACACAGCAAGACTTTTAATTACAATTGTAATGCTCCATCCCCCCCCCCTCTTTGGAGTATAATATTTGAAAGGGATAACATACATTCGAAGTTGCTGCAGAAATCACAGTGGCTGGATTTGTTGTTTAATATTTTTATATATGTATTTATTTAAAACAAACCCAGAGGGTTGACTTTACATAAAGACACATTTAACATTTATTTTCACCCTCTCCTTGTCATCCGACTATTACAGCATTTCTTCTGACCTTCCAAGGCAGAATGAGTGGGTGATATTTTTTTTTAAACCGGAGTTTAGTGGTGAAGGGGAGTGAATAGATGTTTGAAAACTTTATGCGCTGTGGTTTGGAGGGATGCTAGGCAGCCAGAGAACGGATCAAAGCCCCACAAACTGTACCTACACAGAGTACACCACTCCTACATTTTTAATTATGACATTTTAGTACATTTCTCTCCCACCTCCCCCCTTCTCGCCTGTCCTTGGAAACTTACATGATCAGGACAGGAAATGCTGGACTATTTCGAGTCCGGGGGATTTAAGGGGTCCATTTAAATGAGTATTTTATTTTATCTTGCGGTGTGATTTGTTTTTCATTTCCTCTTTTTTTTTTCTTTCCTTTTTTTTTATTCCTTTCCCATTTTTGTTTTTAGGACCGGCATGATGGAGTCCCCAGCCACAGCTCCAGATTGTCCCAGCTGGGCTCTGTCTCCCAGGGACCCTATTCCAGCGCCCCGCCGTTGTCTCACACCCCGTCCTCGGATTTCCAGCCGCCTTACTTCCCACCCCCCTACCAGCCTCTTCCTTACCACCAAAGCCAGGACCCGTACTCCCATGTCAATGACCCTTACTCCCTAAACCCCTTGCATCAACCCCAGCAGCACCCTTGGGGACAAAGGCAGAGGCAAGAGGTGGGATCAGAAGCCGGCTCACTGCTGCCACAGCCTCGGGCCGCCTTGCCTCAGCTCTCGGGACTGGACCCCAGGCGGGACTACCACTCAGTGAGGCGGCCAGATGTTCTCCTTCACTCGGCACACCATGGCCTGGATTCCGGCATGGGAGACAGCCTTTCTCTGCATGGCATCGGACACCCAGGAATGGAGGACGTGCAGGTAAGGCGTTCCTGCTCCTTCCCCCGCTACTGCCAGGGAGCCTGAAGAAATCTTAGCAGCTGGGAGACACATAGTCAACAACGATCAATTATGAATCATAGCAATTAGACAACGGAAAGATCTATTAGGTTACCCTTCCCCTGCCTCTTCAGGGTCGTCCCCTACTTATATTTTCCAGTATTTTTCTTAAAAATATTTTCTTTCTTTCTTTCTTACACTCATCTCACAATACATTAACAAGATGAAAGCTACAATAATGAACTAAGAAAGAAAGAAAGAAAGAAAGAAAGAAAGAACAGGCGTTTCTGAATAATCTAGGCATCTTGAAAAGGGATAAAGTTTATGGAAGCTTTTCTTATTTCAGATATTAAGCCATGTGAAATATGGGTCTCCCAACCAGCTTTTTGCAGTTTTGGGGTTTCAGTGAGATCTTTCAGAATAACAAATTTAAAAAAAAATTACTCCCAGTTAGGAAAAAAACAAAACAAAACAAAACCCTGTGTATAGGATCAAGGATATATAAAAGGATTGCACAGGGCACTGTTTTTAAATGTTTTGTGTGTGTGTGTGTATATATATATATTCTCTCTTTATCTAATCTATCTATCTCAACAACATATATCATTGTTCTGTTCCATCCTTTGGGAAACAATGGAGTTTCATGGGCCTGGAGGTACAATATTTCCTAGCTCTCTCACTCCCCAAGCCAAAGTCATTGCGGGCTATTTCCTTAAAACAAAAGCCCCATAACAATTTCACCCAAAATGGCTCGGCTCGGACCTTCCTAGGGCCCAGCTCCCATTGTAGGTGGATGCATGATTTTCGGCCCACATTTTACACGAGGGTTGCTGGTTGGTGGTGGTGTTGTCTTTCCTGCTTTTTTTTGTTGCCGGGTTGCAGATATTTAAAAGTCTTGGACAGATTTTTTAAAATAGCAAGGGAGGAATCTGCAAAAAAGAGAATAAAGAACTCATTCAAATGAAATGCTTCACTAAAATAAATGGGCTTCTCCCCAATTCAACATAAAAGTACCAGACAAGCATGAGGAGGAATTCCTTTATTAGACCTATTATTGCTCAGCTTTAAAAATGCAAGACTGCTGAAAATACAATCAATGAAAGGGGAGAATTGCAAATTTGATTTGCTTGGGTGTCACTTTAAAGACTCGCAAGCCCCTGTATCTTGGTGCGTTAGTGTTTGCGATGATCATGGAAAAGGCTTTCCTTGGTATTTGGTTACTGCTCCCTCTGAACTCAATGGCAATCGGAGCATTGGATTGCACGGATTTAAAACTTTATTTGTAAGACCTACGCGGACTCCCTGAGCTACATGAACAGGCTTTATGGGGCTCATCCTATATTCCGTATTCAGGCAAAACTGGCAATGGGAGTGTTGCCTGAGTAAGGACAACAGAATAGGATCCCTTATCTCTCTATATCTAGTACCGAAAAGATATAGAAAATATGAGTGCATTGACATTTACAATGCCAAAAGAAAACTGCAGAATTAGCTGGTACACTCGTTGTGCTTCTGTTATAGAGAGGTAGAGACTGGATACAGTTATTCGTATTCAGATATTTTTAAAGCAAAACGAATCCTTCTATTAAACTCCCCGCTGAGTCAATAAGGCGCAAGGTATTGAATACAAATAAGGTGCATGTCGCATGGTCATTTTCTAAACAAAATAATATATCCATAGCCTACGGTAGGAAGGAGCTAGTTTAGCCTACGTTGTATTGCTCATCCAAACAGCTAAAGGGGCGTTGCAGACAGGGTATTTTCGTGCAGGAATCTATCTCTGGAGTTCTGGACACAATGTTTAGACAGGATAGTGCACTGGGAGAATGAGGCAGGTACTTATTTTTAAAGGTTGGATCTCAAACTGAAAAAAATATTCCAAGGGATAATTTATGAAGATGAAAGTGCTCATCAGCAAGTTAGTATAAATAGGCACAGAGGTGGTGACAGGATTGTATTTATTGACAGGCATTTTCTATTATTTTCCCTCTGTGTTTGCGAGCCAGGTTAAGTTGGCGGTTTTCTTAATACGTGATTCTTAATATGGATTTTTTCTAGGACAGGTAAAAAAAATCCTATATACCCAATAAATACACCTACTTTCTATGCCTTATGGGGAAAAAAGTTTCCTTAAGGCATATTAGTCAGGGTTTTTTTGCTCACAAAGTTTTACTTTTTGAGTAAAGTTTTTTTTTCCATATACCATCAGATTAAATAGATTTCAGAAGTATGTGTTTGGTTGGCAGAGAGAAAGAGAGAGAAAAAATTGAGGATATGATATAAACCCAGTTCCAGACCATGTGTAATCCGCTGTCCAGGAACATAATTAAGTGGTTGTAACATAGGGTTCTGTTGTAAGCACAGTGCTGTCCTTTGCGGCGAATTAGGGTTTCCGTCTACAATTTACAACCGACAAATATGCACAGAGGAAAAAAAAGGATCTTCACATTGAAAACAAATGTGTCTCCCCTAGGTAGAAAAAATAAATTAAAATAGCCATTGCAATTTCATCCTTATTCCTCGCAGATCAGGGGATCTGCACCTTTTATACCTTCATTCATTATTATAGCCAAAGCTATAGGGAAGAAATGCATCCAGCACTCTCTCTCTCTCTCTCTCTCTCTCTCTCTCTTACACACACACACACACACACACGCGATCACACAGCCAGAGTTTGCAAAACAAATGACAAACTCTGTGGGTTTTATTTCAGTTATATTATTTTATAGCTGCTGGGTACGGAGATGGTGTTTAGAACGGGTCAGTGCTATCAAGTTTATTTGCAAAAAATACATCTCCAGATTTGCTAAATGTATGCTAGAAACTCATCACCTCCCCTATTACAACCTCTACTCCTTCCCTTCCTCCACCTTCCCCCCCCCCATCCCCGCCTGTGTATGCAAGCTAAGGAGACTGAAAGTTAAGTTGCACCAAAACACCCGAGTCTCTTATAAAGTAACCCCTGGTATCACTTTTAACTAAAGAAGTCTAGTAATTAAAAGTCTGAGTTGTTTTTCCACGTTTCCGCATGCAGTCCTAATTAAATCTTTACGATCCTCTCTGTGACTATTAACTGCCAGCATGCTGCGCGAACATCCTGTACAAAAACCCAGCAGGAGGGCGTAATTAGATAGAAAATCAGACAAGAGTCTTCTCATTAACTGTAACAACTAACCCACGTTGCTGATAAAGCGAGTGGAGTGCATACACACACACATAAGTAGACATAGACATAGCCAGGCAATATCGAGATAAGGTGAGGTTACAAAAAGAAAGATGGCGCTTAATATTTGCCTCCATTTTTATAGCATCCTGTTGCAAAATGATGCTCTCCACCAGGCTGCACCATTTGTTCATCTTCCTCTGTCTCGTTGAAGACAGTATAGAAGCTGCTAAAGGAGAGAAGAAGAAAAAAGAAAAGACCTTATCATTGTATTTGATATTTCCCCTCTTATTTTCTGTGATACCCTGTAGGTATGTGGCCTATTGATTAAGGAGGAGTAAAAAAAAAGACAAAAGGAACCTGGGGGGGGGGCAACTGGAAGGCTGGGGTCAAGAGGGAAAGGAATCCAAGGAAATATTGTTTATTGTTCCATCACACTTTGGATGTGCTGTTGGAAATATAATTTTATCCTAACTCATATCCCACCTTAGCTGGGAGTCTCCTGAGAATAGAAAGATATTTACATAAGGACTGGATTATGATAAACTAAGACACTACTTGGAAAGATAAAGTTAGAATAAGAGGAAAATTCCATGACTTAAAGATGTTTAATGTGTCTTTGGGAAAGAAAAAAACAAACAAACCCCAAAGCCATCTAATCTATCTATCTATCTATCTACATCTGCAGTTTAGAACTGACCACAAAACGGAACCACGTATTGAAATCTATTAGAAATGGTTCTTTAGTGACCTCTGTTCTCTGCGATGGTTGTTGTTGCTCATTGAAGAGGGTATTCTATATCAGACAATTTATATTAAAAAATAAAATGTAACATTTGCCCCTGCTACAGTGTAACCATCTTTGTTTGTTTTCCTGCTAAAGAAGTTAATGCCATAATAACAGGTGTGCTTCTAACCAGGGTGAAAGTAGACAGGTTGAGGAGAGAGATTGAGTGACTTTTCTAGGCAATCGATTTAATTGCTCTTATATTTTGTCTCTGTGTAATTCCCTTCCCCCATCTCTCTCTCTCTCTCTCTCTCTCTCTCTCTCTCTCTCACACACACACACACACACTTTTAACTTGTAACCAAACCTTGCGAGCTGTTAATCTCTGTTTCCTATACTATGTGGGTGTTGCACTCTACTCTGAATTGCTCAAACTTTAATTACAAGTCTGTAATGTAAACCTTCCTATATAAAAAGTAAATGACCTGTGAGTTAAATGGCAGGGTTAATAATAATAATAATAATAAAAACCTAAGTTGTCCTTATTCGTGTTCATTTAGATACTAGATCTTGGAGATGTTACCAAATTGCCAAATTTTCAAAGAAAGAAATATAAAGCTTTATTGAATGCAAAAGAGACTATGTAATATCTATGTTTTATAAGATAACAAAAATACTATTGCACCCCATATGCTTCACACCTCTTTTTTATTATAAGACCATATGATTTGGAACAATTTCATTTCCATGTCAATTTGGGGGAATAATAATAATAATACTAATAAACCTTTCTTCCCCCAGTGAATTAATATAAATGGAAATAACAGAAACTCCAGTTTGGAATGACATGATTTATGTACGCCATACTTTAATATCCAGTCAATTTGAATAGTGATGTTTTTTATATTCACAGTCAGTTGAAGATGCCAATAACAGCGGTATGAACCTATTGGACCAGTCTGTCATTAAAAAAGGTATGGATTATTCCAACAAGCTTGACAAACTTATACTGTGTAGCAATGTCTTCCTGGTATGATTTTACTTTGAGGCAATTAGTTTACCCGAAAAAAATAGACAGGCATGGGAGATAGATAGATAGATAGATAGATAGATAGATAGATAGATAGATAGATAGATA